TCGGACACTACATCTCAAAACTTCAAACAGCAAAAAACTTGTGACACTTGCCAGCAGCCTCCTGTCCACCAGCATAGATCCAGGGGCCTACACCCCCTGGAGGGCTGCGCCAGATGACAGGAGGCTACTGCTGCTGCCTAGGACCAGCGCTGGGTGCAGCTGGCACCCAGCACCAGGGAAGATTAATGCTGCCGCTGGCCCCAGGCACCAGCAGTAGCCTCTTGTCATCCAGCCCGGTGGCAGGAGACAGGGGAGAGCCAGGGATGCACTCCAAGCGGCTCTGCAGCCCTATGGAGCTCCCAGCCTGGTGGTGGGAGGCAGACAGAGCCAGGGCTGTGCTCCACTACTAGGCTGAGCTCCATAGGGCTGCAGAGCCGCTTGGAGTGCATCCCTGGCTCTCCCCTGTCTCCTGCCACCGGGCTGGATGACAAGAGGCTACTGCTGGTGCCTGGGGCCAGCGGCAGCATTAATCTTCCCTGGTGCTGGGTGCCAGCTGCACCCAGCGCTGGTCCTAGGCAGCAGCAGTAGCCTCCTGTCATCTGGCGCAGCCCTCCAGGGGGTGTAGGCCCCTGGATCTATGCTGGTGGACAGGAGGCTGCTGGCAAGTGTCACAAGTTTTTTGCTGTTTGAAGTTTTGAGATGTAGTGTCCGAGAAACCCCTGCACCTATCTCCTTGAAACTCAGCAGGCTTCATGCCCTCAAAAGGGGCTACCATCCCTGCAATTTGTCATCCAAATCAGGCAAGAAATGACATGGGTATTTTCATGATTCCCCATTATAGCCTATGGGCGATGCATCGGAATGCGTTGAAACAGCGAAACAGTTTTGACGAAATGAAACGGGACAGTGCTTTGAAACGAAACATTGTCCCTTCGAAAAGGATGTCGAAACGAAACAGTGGTGTTTTGTACAGCCCTACTAAACAACACTTGAATGCTGTTTTTAAAGCCAGTTAAAAATTTATAGTAACAACTAAATCTTGCATGGTCTCTGGCTTTCCCAGATTGATAACTGAAGCTTTGCTAATATTATCTGATAAGCCCTCTTGAATATTCATTCCTCCTTCCACATTCATATTTTCATGGTCAGATAGCATAAGTAGTCCTACACTTTTAGTGCATGCTTCATATTTAGACTTGAATAATATCAACTTTCTTTGAAGTACCGCTATATTTTGCCAGATGCTTCTTGTCTAGTATAGTTAAAGTTTTATGGTTTTAGAAATGTAACTGTCCATCAAATAAAATTAATATTTTTTTTTAATTCTGAAGGCTCGAGAAGAAGAAATGACAGCAAAAGTAAATGATTTGCAAACACAACTGGAAGAATTGCAGATGGAATACAAACGAAGACTGGCAGATGAAGAGCATCGGAACAATGAAGAAGTGAGCTGATGCAATTGTTGTTTAATTGTCGTGAGGTTTAGTTATAAGACATGCCCTGGTTTTCGGGTGCAGTTCTGAGTTCTTTGAAAGAAGGGGGCTGTTTTGTTGTAGGATCTGCAAGATTTACTTCGATCCTTTTTTAATAGCTTGCCAACTAATTATTTTTCTTTCTGTCTGTCTTTCTTTTTTTCATAAATGTTGGCTTCCTTCTGGAAACATTGCAGAGATGCAAAATAACTCAGTTTGGAATTCCAGTAGTTAAGGGGTGTTAAAATATCTTTGTATCTTGCACAGAAAGGGATTCATATTATCCAAGGAAGGGTGTCTACATGCTGTAGTAGACCCATGAATACATTTTGATGCTGTTAAAAATACTAAAATAAGTAGTACACTTAATACGAAAACATAGGAAAGCCATAGATAGGGCAATTTTCATTTTTCATCTTGCAGAACTGTTTTTATATTCCTTATGAACTAATGGAAGGCGTTACAAGTATTTGACATTTCAGACAGACAGTATGAGTTACATCAGGCTTTCTGAACTTGACTGGACAATACTAAATATTATGAGATGTTAAAGATATGTTCTGAATATAAGAAATGCAGAAAAAAGGTCTTGACTTGGACAGCCCTAAATTAGGCCTCAACATAAAGTGCTGTATTACTTTTATCATATGCTCTTCAGAGCTCCCCAAAACAGAGGCGTGAAACAAAAGAATTCAAAGAGAGCTACTCTTTTCTCTAGCTCGTGTAAACCAGTGGTTTAGGGTATGGACATGTAAGTAATTTACTGTGGATTAAACTTGTGCTGGGGCTTTACTGTACCTCATCTGCTCCGTGGTAACTGTCTATCTGCAAACATTCTATCATAATAAGCTATTACAATGTACCATTTTTCCCTGGAGGACTAAGCTTCCATGTTTTAGCTCCCACTTACCTCAGGGTAAGAGCATATGCATGGGCAGTGGCCATTTATAGGTACTGGCTTTCTTCTGGAAGAATTGCTGCTCTTCCAGGAGAAACCACAAGTGTAGCAATGTTTAGATTTTTCTCCCAGAACAGAAGTGGCTGGTCTAATAGAAGAATAACCCAGGAACAGCCAGGGTTAAATTGCTCCCAGGAGAGTTTCTCCTGAGAGGGTGAATGTCTGTACGTGTTCTCTTCTGAGAGAAGCTGCACCATAGTCCTCCAGCATCTCGGGGTGCTTTGCTCCTGCTTGCATCTCCACCTGCAGAAGACAGTGTTTTGCTCGCAGAACATGCTCCCTTCACAATCGCACATTGTGCTGCAGGTGGACAGAGGCTGACTTTTAACAGTCTGGGTTAGCCAGTCAGACTTGTCCTATGTCCTGCTGTCATTTTGTCTCATGGCAGATTGAGGGAGACTGCAGAGCACGGTGAAATGTTTGCACAGGGGTGCCCTTGCTGTGCTGCCTCAGCGCTGCAGACTTTCTGCTCTTCAGGCACAGCATTCAAATGTCTATGCAGGTGTGTCTGAAGTTTTTTCTACCAAGAAAATAAATCTGGGAAAATTCTGTGGGATGACTTGGATGTGTGTAGCAGCGAGTAACTGCAAAACAACTGATGACGTACAGTTCTACCTCCTTTTTTTATCCCACAGTAAATTGTTCATGTGCTTTTAAGGTTAGGTGAACTTTCTACAAATAGACATGGTGATTAAATCTTGCTCAGTGGGTGGTGTTTGTGTTTACTGGGAGAACATAAGGATTATATCAAATCTGTGTGCCCTCAGTTGTTTTTAACATGTCTTAACACTCCATGGAAGTGTAGTGATAGGAAAGAGATGTAAAGTATTTGCATGTTGCGAATGATCTGCCTCAAAGCAATAAGAAATTCACTTAGTGTTGCCAACTCTCATGATTTTTGGCATTGTTCTTAAAATCCATGCTTCGGGAATGTGAAAAATTGAGCTCTTATATACATACATATATAATATAGTATGTAATATAATATAACATACATGAAAGAGCTCAGTTTTTCACGTTCATGAAGTGTAGACTTTAAGAATAATGATAAAAATCATGAGTTGGCAGTACTGCTTAGAATTTAAAGAAAAGGACAACACTGTAAACAACTAATTTTCTCTGTCTTTGGAATCTCCTGCACAGTTCCTCACTCCTTGGAGTTTCCATGGCAGACTTAGGAGAAACTCAAAGGAGTTGTTCCATCTGTGGAGGAAATATACCAATTGAGAGAACTCCAGTTGCTGGTAAATAGCTTTGTTTAAAAATAGCAATGTGTACTTTTCACCAGGAATAGGGAGGAAGGCCTGTTTTATATTATCTACTTAAATACAATTATTGCATCTAAGTTGTAAACACTTGCAGAGTAACAGTGGGATTTTTAAAGGAACCTGAAAAAGCCTTTCAAATTTCAGTAGGAACCAGGCACAAAACTACATTTGGCTCCTTTAAAAATGCCAGCAGACATCTACCATGATTAAGATTTTCATCTTCCTCATATGACTCCATATACTCATTTCCATACATATGCATTGGTGTATATTTGTTCAGTTTCAGAAGTGTTTAGTCTTTTGAGACTGAGCCTTCATTGCATAAGTTGTCTGCGCAGTTAGCTCTTGATTATCTATTCAGATTAACTTGAGGACATTCTAAAATCACTGACTATTTTTTTTCCATTTTAAGGGTCATTTTAAAGATACTTGTAACACCTTCCCTTTGTTTTTTGTATAAGTGGAGCTCCACTTGACTGCAAATGTGTAGGGATTAAATTGAACTAATATGCTTCACGATCTATTTATTTTTCCTTAAGACTTAAGAGTTGTTTGCTTGTTTTTACCATTCTTCCTCTTTTCTCTCTTTTTTTTTTTTTTTTTTTTACATAACCCTTTCCATTTGTGGGTAGTTTTGCTTGGAACTTCCCTGTTATCTAATACAGCAGTGGACCTTTTCCAATATTACAGGACTGGGTTAAAAAAACTATACAAAGCCTGTGGACCTCATGCACTTGCATACCTTTAGGTGAATGTGTACACATTCATGAAAATTTTAGTAGACTTTTCCATCTTAAATTACCACGATGCAGTGATGCAAATTACAGTGATGCATATTTTACCAACTTAAAACTGAATCTTCGTGTGCTGTTTTTTATTCTTGTCTTTATTTTTATTTTCCATTTTGTTCTTTTTTTTGCTGCTTTTTCCCTATGGAGTTGAAAATAAAACTGATTTGTAGTCTTTGGTTTTAAAAACTATTAGTTAAAACTAATTTTACTAGGTTGACCAGTTATGAATTGGTGATTATACAGAAGATCTGTGGGTTATCTGAACTCTTTTGAAAAGCAGCTGTTGAAAAGCTATTTTAACTGAATTCATTGGAACAGGTTAATGTAGTTACAGGTTGTCCACTTTTATGAGTACAGTTACAGTTCAGTAAAATTTAAAAGAGAACATTATAAAGTACTAAGACTTACAAGTTGCAATGCTGTAGCAAATTTAGAAGTAGAGATGCAGTAATGTATTAAGTAAAGCTTAAAAAGAAAGCACAGAGTCAGCAGGACCAACCTTTAAATTTTGCTATTTACAGGTTAGCAAATAAAAGCAATGTTGTCATTCAGATAATGAAGGATGTGCTAGGTCAGGGGTCGGCAACCCCCGACATGCGTGCCGAACATGTCATGTGAGGCCATTTTGCTTGGCATGCCACCACCAGCCCCGGCTCTGGGTAGCTGCTGCCAACCACGGAGCCCAGGCTGCTCCCAGCAGGCGGCTGGGAAGCTGCAAGCAGCGCTGGGAAGCTGCAAGCAGCCTGGACTCTGTAGTTGGCAGCAGCTACCCAGAGCCATGGGCTGGGTGGAGCAAACAGGCTGCAAACAGCTGCGCTGGGCTCCGGCATCAGCTCTGTGTGCATGCATGCCTTGGAGCAGGCGGTGGAAGGGGCCTGAGGCAGCGCAAGCCCGGTTTCTCCCCTGCTGCCAGCACAGAGGTGATGGTGGGCTCCACAGCTCCATGCTGGCGGTAACCGCATGTGCACCTTGGAGCGGACAGCGGGGATAGGGCTTGGCCCTGAAGCAGCGCAGCCCTCCTGCTGTCCATTCCGAGATACATGCTCAGTCACTGCCAGCATGGAGCTGATGCCAGAGCTGTGGAGCCTGGCATAGCTGTTTGCAGCCTGCCCACTGCTTGCTGCAGCTGCCCAGAGCCCAGGCTTGCTATAAACAATTGCGCCAGGCTCTGGAGCCCTACCATCACCTCTGTGCCAGCAGCGGGGGAGAGACTGGGCTTGCGCTGCCTCAGGCGTCTCCCACTGCCCACTCCAAGGTGCACATGCGTGCGCCAGTACAGAGCTGATGCCGGAGCCTGGCACAGCTGTTTGCAGCCTGTTTGCTGCAGCAGCCCAGAACCCAGGCTGGCTACAAGCAGATTCTCTGGGCTCTGGTGCCCAGTCATCAGCTCTGTGCCAGCAACAGGAGAAAAGCCGGGGTTGTGCTGCCTCAGCTGCTCTGAGGCATGTGTGCGGCTGTTTGCAGACTCTCGGCTGCAGCCAGCCCCAGCTCTGGGTAGCTGGTGCCAGTTACAGAGCCTGGGCTGCCTGCACATAGCTTGCAGCTGAGCTGGCCTGATTCCCACCCACTCCAAGCCCAGCACTGGCCCAGCCCACCTAGTGGGATGAGGCTGGCGCTGCCCCTTGCCAGGAGTGCTGCACCTTTGCAGGCTTAGCTGTGTGGAGTGGGTGGGTGGTTGGGCTGATGGGCAGGCTCTGGGTTGGGGCCCCAGCTGGCCGCGCTGCAGCCCGGGAGCTGGTTCCCCAGGGAAGCACAGGGGCTCTGGCAGGCCCAGGACATTGTTGGGTTGGACTTTGTCCGGTGGCCCAGCAGCCTAGCTCTGTGCACTCATGCATCTGGTTCTGTATGTTTGTCTGCCTCTGGTTCTGTGCATCTGTGTGTGCACCTATGTCTGGTTCTGGATGTGTGTGAGTGTCTGTTCTGGTTCTCTGTGTTTTTGTGCATGTGGTTCTGTGTGCGTGTGTGTGTGCCTGGTTCGTGTTCTCTCTCT